TAAGCACCACACTCAGAGCGGAAGCTGTCCCGTGGGGTCCACGAGCGCGTCACGGTGGAGGCCTTTGCAGCTGGCCGGCTCCTTAGCAGGTTTCGGCGCTGTCGGACAAGCCAGGCGATGTCAGTGGTGCGCGGTCAGTTGAGGTGAAACACTTCAATCAAAGTTCCGATTATTCACAAGGGCTAAAGAAGGATCCAGAGTTTTTTGTTTTCGGGCTTTCGACACTCACACTCGCACGCAGCAGGCAATGCTCCACACAATCCGCATCCAGACAGGCAGTGACCGAGCTCAGCACACACGCGCACACACACAACACAAAGGGGTTAAGGCTTTGGAGTCTAGAGTCCGACAGCTTTACGACTCCGGTGCACGGGGCTAGAGTCTATAGAGCTCAGGGCTCATTTTGGACTACTGGGCTTCGGGATTTTTGGGGGGCTTTATGACACGCAGACAAACTTGGCGAGGTGTTGCAGCGAGGGAGATGTTCCTTATACGGCCTGGGCTCCGCGTGTTGATTTCACTGTGAGTTGCTGAGTCGTCGCGGCCCCAGATCTATACTTCTGAGGATTCCGGGACAAAGTATGGATACGTCAAGTCGAACAAACACACGCAAAGTCGATACCATGCTGTGCAGTCCATGCCACTCTATGCGCAAACCTTAAACGCCATGTGCGCTGCCTTTCAGCAGTGAACTTGCATGTCCAGGCACTACCCAATCGAAATCGAACGAGGAAGAGACCGAGGACAAATACCACTCCTTCATCCAGGTTTGCGAGCGCTTCATGACAGCTGGAAGGGTGCCCCATGCAATCTAACAGGAATCTCACACGTGCCGAATAGCAGCCTACTGCACTGCTCCAAGAACCCAACTTGCTGCCAACTGCACTCTCCCATCGGGGCCATACCACACACCCAAAGCCCTGACAAAATCTGGACAATTGAAGGCGTGGCGACCAGGAAAGGTCATGTGCGGACACAGATCTGCGAAAAGCCCTGTTTAAAAGTGCCTGTCCCAGCTAGACAAGGGCATCGCTCCTTGTACTCCGCGAAGCTTAGCTCCACCTGTTTCTGCGAAGCGAGTTCTCGTGTTGAACTACGGCTTTGACACCATGTTTTCGGATTCCGGACTCTACGCGGCTTGGCGGCCAAAATACGGCGTCCTCAAGTACTTCAGGGTATTGTTCTCCCCTCGAGACACCACTCCACATGGTAGGGTTGACGGTTCAGTCACGGCTTGCTTCGGGGCTGAGGACTTCAGAAGGCTCTTGAGCCGTTGGAACATGCTTGTTGGCTGGACGAGTCCGCAATCCAGCACTCAACTCAAGGTCCCCACTCAGTACCATACCATGCCATATACCATAGTGTGCCCCCTTTGTTGGCTGGCACACAGGCCTTGGCTGACATCTCCTGCGCCTCCTTTGTGGGAGCTGATCGCCTGCAGCACAACAAAACCAGGAAACAGTCGCTAACAGTAGGCAAGTGAACCAGGTATACGGCTGAAGGTCACAAAGGTGTGGGCACCGCCAGTCATAAGGGCTAGGGGCGAAGTCGTAAAATGAACCTGCTCCTTCTTTCCTGTTGGTGTGGGGTTTACAGACAGAGCTTACTGTGGTTTCAAAAACCTGCTGGAAATGCCAGAAAATCCCTGGACACTGATGCGACAGCGAAACCGGCTTCCATCAATAGACCCCGGATTCAAGGCAGCCTGCACAGGTCTGCGGCCACATTCCTAACCTAGCTCAAAACAAGCACCCCAAAACATTATGCATCGGCACTGCAAAAAACCCCGACGATGTAACGACGAGTGTTGCAGTCACTGTGCCATCACCGTCAGTGTTGTAGTTCGGGGGGCTATTTCCCGAGTTAGTGCATTTGACGATTGGGTTTTCACGAAACGAGCTTTGCTGGCCTATCCCTCGACCAGCGCGCTCTCCCACGAAAACTCAACTTTTCAGGTTGCTTGCCGCCTCTGGTTCAGAGGTTCAGACCACTTCAAAGGACGAATCTTGTCAGTATAGAGCATCACAAGCAATTGCAGTCACAAATCTCACAATCGTAGTCTGCAGATCATGAGCCGAGCAGCTTCGGCCAATCCCCGAGCACGCTCTGGGCCAAGGGTGCCAGGTCGTAGGCACAACGGAAGTTGCCGTGATCCTCCGCAGGCTGAGGCTTGGCTCGGGCCCGGGCAACCTCCCTCCCCCCCCCCACCTCCAGCGCATGGGCGTGCGGGAGGCCCTCCAAAGCGAGGTCGGGTGTCCGAGCGTGGAGGATGACGCCTCCTTCGGCCTGGCGAAGTCTGAGGCTTAGGCTTAGCAAAGCTTGGCTTGTGGAGGCTTGAGCAGCGCTCCATGGGTAAGCGGCTAGCCCGGCTAGTCGTAACTCCACGCGCTTCAAGTTTCTTCGTTAAACCGAATCCTGCAGAGCTCCAGCCGCGGCGGAGAAGCCGCCCCCGCCCCCCAGGATGAGAACGTTGGATGTGGCGAGGTAGTCAAGGTCGCGCCTCGGCACAAAGGGAGAAAAACGCCGGCAAAACAAAACCGAACTATACAGTATGTATATGTATGTATATATATATATATGTATAATATGTACTGTATATACCTCGAAAACCTTAAATGTCTCCATGGTAACACCACCAAGGGACTCTGATGTCGAGGGGTTGAAAAGGCGTACAAGTTTCTGTTGAGGCTTTACGCAATGCTCAAGCCTTCAGGCAGCGCTTACACTGTCATGAACTCGGACTCCCCAGGGGAGGTCTCTCGGTTTGCAGTCGGTGCTCAGATCGCACAAAGGGCACGTGGCTATGTGTCACAGGCAATCTCTTCAGGTTTAGGACTGAGGTCAGGGGATGTTGGGGGCAGTTTCTGGAAATCCTGCGTTCAGATCCTTGCTCCGGAGCTCAGCATCTCTTTTTTTCTCCGCATCAGGCTGCGGTGTCGGGAAAAAGTTCTTAGTGAACAACAAATACACAATTGAACTATGCGCAGCGAGCCGCCAAGCCCCCAAAACAGGGGCTGTCTGCAGAATCGAATATCTGCATACGAGCACGAATGTTTTGAATATGTGGATGGGCAGATGTGCATGTACGAATGCGACTGTCTGCCTATGCACACGCCTACAATAATGCATTCCCTGTTGAAGCAAACCTTCGGGACGGCTGATGCTGCACAGGTACTACTTGCACAGCACCAATAGAACCTCCTAAATCTTCTCAGCCCTACCTCCATACACCTCGCGAGCCCCAGGCCGTAAACCATAGACTAGACAGAGGGTCCTGCAAATGCCGCCCTCTACACTTCGACTTGTTTGTCATGCCGTTGGTTTAACTTAGGGTTTAGGACTCAGGTTTGGGGCTGACGGCGAGAAACATGCACTGCGGGCATGCTGCGTACTTCTTTAAGGCGTTTCAACGTAACGCGCCCAGTCGGCAAGTCGGCACTCCTCCTAGAACTCCGCACTCAGGGAGCACATGACCTATGTAATGCAAGGTCAAACTCGAGAAGCTTGCGAGGGCATGTGCAGCATGTGTCTACTGAGAGAAATGGTTGCAAGAAGAGACACCTAGAATACACCTAGGGTGCAGAGACAACAAATGCCATTTCCAAAATAAGCGTCTGACAATGCATCAAACAGCTTGCCCTGTTGCTCGCTGCCGGCAACGAAACTGCGAAGATCTTTAACTTCGCAATTCAACTGGCACCTGCAATGCCTGCACTACGATTTGCGCGTGCTTCCGTTAGGCCCTGGCCCCCAGCAGCTCTTCGTCGAGATGTCGTGGTAGATAGACGTCCGTGCCTCGTGCCTCGAAGGCTCCAGTATCTTCCAGGAGCTCTTTAGGGCTCTTGGACAAAAGCTTGCCGCTGTCTCTTCCGCTCGTGTCGCTCGACTACCTGGCAGCCAGGTTTGGATAGTCGCAGAAGTTCGGGAGACAGGTTCAACATTGGTTCCTTGTGCCCCGTGAAATTTGTCCACAGCGGTTTGATTTCAGGCCGAAGCATATTATATGGCGAAAGGCCTCGATTCGTGCCGAAGCCGGACAGAACGCAGACCGCCCAGAGCTCCGTCGGCGGCGCTGTGCAGCAGCTGGCGCAAGGGACCTCAGTTGTCCTACGATTTGGAGTTTCAACCAAAACGTGTGCCAATTCCTGCGCGACGAATACAACAATGGGTTGCTACATAATGGTTCTGAAAGCAATTGTTTTGCTTACTATATTGCGGTTAACTATACTGGATTGGCAACGGGGTTTTGCAGCCTCTATAGACTCTAGCTGGCGTTTCGTGGACTTCGAGGCTCAAGGCTCAGCAGCGTATTCGTGATAGTGTTAACGGAGGCGGTGGTTGCGAAGATGCGGAGGACTGGGATGAGCAGGACTAGGATAAGTCATGAATGTGCACCGTGTCATGCTGATATCCAGTCGTCGCTTAGGGTGTTTAGGTCCCTCACGGCCACTGGCCAAGGGTCTTTGCACGATCTTTACATCTCCAAAAGGACAGGATTGATCAACTGGGGCTTCAGGGGCGGTCACGGGTGAGACCTCAATCTTCATTGATGGCGGGCAGTACGGCTTTGGCGAGCAGGGAGATCGGGGTCGGGGTTGCTTGGATGCCATGTAAAAGAACGCACATTGCAAGGTGAAACAAGTTCAGTGGCTTCCTGAGTGCATCACAATTTCATGTCGTCGCCAAAGCCCGAACCTGCCCTGTCCTCCACGTCCATCAAGCTGCGATGGCCCGACTACATAACAGCTCGGTCTAGACAAACCATTTTTGCAATAGTCTGGCTCGCTGTTTTGACCTCGTAAACGCTCATCAGAATTGGCGTCTTTGCATCAGTATGCTTCACACAGCGCAACCCGACTAAGGATCCGCGGAAACGATCTGAAGTCGGAAGAACACTCACAGGCAACCACCGCGAGCTGCTAAACATTACATTTAGAAAAGCAATGTCGTGTATCCACGGCCAGGAACCGTAGTAGAGATTCGAAGCTGGAGCCCTGACTACCATGAGTCTGCACAAACTGAGAAAGCCACCACTCTCATCACTTGACGATACTTGCAGAGCTAGGCCTCAGTACCCCAACCTGCCATGCCATATTCAATGCCATCATATTCGCTACTCACTTGTGCCGGCGGCTATTGCAACACATAAACTCATGTTGTGACGAATTTGCCCCTACCTGTTGCGTCACCAAGCAAAGCTTTTTGAAAAGGCACCGAAAGCCCTCCCGGTGTCTGCAGCAGCTGCGGCGACATCGAGAGTCAAGGTGTTTGCCGCACAGTCCCTGACATGCTTCTTAGTCAAGTGTTGCTTCCTTGCTGGGGTCGGATGTCCTGGTAGTCCTATGCGTGTGGCTATCAGCACTCCAATTATTTGCAGTTTGCACTTATGATCCATTATAAATGTGAACCCCTGGATTGTGAACGGTGGGAAGAAGTCGAAGAGGCCCCTGCCTGTGGCACCCGGTACCCTTGTGATGTGCAGACGTCAGCTTAGACAGCTTTGTTTTATCCCTGACATGCTTTCGACGGAAGGATTCCCTAGTAGGGCCGGCCGTGCTCAACACTAGCCATGTCGGGAGGTCTAAATGCATTGTTCGGGCGCACGCATGAACTCAACATGGAAAGCGTCCCCACAAGCTTGAAGGCTTGACCCGGAAAACAGTGTTTTAATCCCTAAGGCCAAACTCCGGAAGCCGAAACCCCCCACATTTCAAATCCCTGAAGCCATCAGCAGCGAAACCGTGGGACCTGCTCGCCATGGATTCCAATAAAAGCCTAGCGAGAGTAAGCATCATGGCTCTCCAGAATTGCAAGTTGGTGAGTTTTGTTCCGGCTGTGCGATGTTAAGGGTTTTCTGGGATCGTTTTGGCTTAAGTTCAAAGGTGTAGGCGTAGGGTTCAGGGCTGAGCCAATGGAGCACAACACAATACCAAAGCAGAAGGCGCATCCCCAAAGCAAAAGCTGAAGATTTTGCGCCACCACAGAATCCTTAAAATCCACTCCCCAATCCTCAGATTCGACCCAGGTGGGGCTCCCAGAAAATAGAATCCCAGTGTGTAAACCCACAATCGTAGGATCCTTGTTGCAACTTCCGACACGCACTTAGCACTATCTTTTGATAGCCTTTCACCTCGGTCTTTCCAAGGCTTTCGGATTTCACTGCTCGGATGTGCCGGTGCACGCAGGGTTTTCGGACTTCGAGGGGTTGGGGTGGGGGAGGGAGGTTGGGGGGAAGGGGGGGGGGGCTATTTCCGTCAGGTGGGACGCTTCACGGCTTGTGCCCTTCAGACAGCCGCACTGCTTGAGAAAATGTCATCTCGGAGGCTTCACGTTCGCATTTCATAGAGTCCCACTTGTCAAGAACATGTTGCGCATGTTGTCCTTCGTAATGCAACTCGCGCAGACTGTAGCTTATGCAGTCCTTGCATGTGCCAGCTGTACCATACCATACCATACATACATACATACATACATACATACATACATACATACATACATACATACATACTTGTACATATATATATATATACATACATACATGTCGGATTAAGTCTCTACAGCTTTGATTGAAGTTGCGGAGACCGAAGCCGTGACGTGCCATTTAAACTTGAGAGGGTTTTATCCTAAGATATGGAAATATAACTTAGCCATACTTAGGCTCCGATAATAAGTCTCGAATAGTGCTCCGAATGACTTGTATAACGCGACTTCTCAGTGTCCATAACTCCTGTCACGCGGTCAAACATGTCGACAAACGCAAACCACAAAAACAAAAAGCACAAACAAACACATCGAAATCACGAAAAGCCGTGCCTGCGACGGTTTTTGAAGATACCACGATCGACTCCACTCAACAGAAAGCTTCAAAAAACTATTTCGGTCCAGCGTTTGCGCCTGCGAGAACCCGTCTACGTGCCTGCTGCAACCGCTAAAAAAAAAACACAACTGGCAATTTCCTCGGGTTTTGTCGGTATGCTCCGCATGTATGACCTCGTCATGTACTCAAGGGCCTCCGCGTCCTGGTTTTTACGATGCGAAGTGCTCCGCTTCCTGACAAAGCTCCGTCCATGAACAGGCCGAACGAAGTTCACAATGTAGGCATCTTCTTGGCTTCAACATACTCTTGCTGGCAGGTGCGCCAAAGCCACTTTTCGAGTTTTATCGAGTTTTGACGCAGAAACGCGTCATTTCCACACCCACGCAAATCAACAACAATGTTGTGTTTTCGTGCTATTTACAGTACAAAATGATTGCCTGTCCTGCCAGCGCTTCGTGGGATCCTTGTTGTAAGTATACCCTATGGCCCTGCGGCCCTATTTCACCCCTGTCTCTGAGGGCACCATCAAAGACCCCCCTCCTATTCCAAAAAGAACATGGATCTGAACACAGAAGTCTCATTGCAGCGCTGGCTTCCTGGAGGAAGATAATGCAATAGACTCCCCAAACCTCAAATGCTAAAGTTCGGAACCATGAAGCCGGAAGCCTTTCACCCAGGGTCCG